ATCAAAAGCTTCTGCACAGCAAAGGAAACAATCAAGAAAACAAAGAGGCAACCCACGGAATGGGAGAAGATATTTGCAAATGACAGTACAGACAAAAGATTGATATCCAGGATCTGTAAAGAACTTCTCAAACTCAACACACACAAAACAGATAATCATATCCAAAAACAGGTAGAAGATATGAACAGACACTTCTCCAATGAAGACATACAAATGGCTATCAGACACATGAAAAAATGTTCATCATCACTAGCCATCAGGGAGTTTCAAATTGAAACCACATTGAGATACCACCTTACACCAGTTAGAATGGCCAAAATTAGCAAGACAGGAAACAACGTGTGTTGGAGGGGATGTGGAGAAAGTGGAACCCTCTTACACTGTTGGTGGGAATGCAAGTTGGTGCGGCCACTTTGAAAACAGTGTGGAGATTCCTCAAGAAATTAAAAATAGAACTTCCCTATGACCCTGCCATTGCACTATTGGGTATTTACCCCAAAGATACAGATGTAGTGAAAAGAATGGCCATCTGTATCCCAATGTTTATAGCAGCATGGCCACGGTCGCCAAACTGTGGAAAGAACCAAGATGCCCTTCAATGGATGAATGGATAAAGAATATGTGGTCCATATACACTATGGAGTATTATGCCTCCATCAGAAAGGATGAATACCCAACTTTTGTAGCAACATGGACGGGACTGGAAGAGATTATGCTGAGTGAAATAAGTCAAGCAGAGAGAGTCAATTATCATATGGTTTCACTTATTTGTGGAATATAACAAATAGCATGGAGGACATGGGGAGTTAGGAGAAGGAAGTTGGGGAAATTGGAAGGGGAGGTGAACAATGAGAGACTATGGACTCTGAAAAACAATCTGAAGGGTTTGAAGAGGTGGGGGGTGGGAGGTTGGGGGAACCAGGTGGTGGGTATTAGAGAGGGCACGGATTGCATGGAGCCCTGGGTGTGGTACAAAAACAATGAATACTGTTATGCTGAAAATAAAAAAAATGATTAAAAAATTTTAAAAAAAGATAGTAAGTTTTATATGTTTTACCATATTAAAAAAGAAAAAAAAATAACTATTGGATTATAGCCCAAAATATGTAATAAATATTCATGAGTCCACATTGATATAAATAAGTGATTAAACACATAAATAAACAAATAGTGAGAAGGAAGAGACAAATTTCCCATACAGAAAATTCCAAATAATTTATGTTGATACTTCACCCTCAATGACAGGGAGCTTACTCCCTATTTCACATGGTGACTTCCTTCCAAACAATACACTATAGAAGGATGGGAGATGAGGGGTAGGTTGAGGAGAGTTTAACTTCATAGTGGGAAACCCGACACACAGTACATCAGTAAGGAGATCAAAGTGATAAATCATGTTAGGAGTATGTGCTTTTCATATAATGGAATGACAATGGAACTTTACTTCTGTACTTTTCCTCATAAAAACCCATAACTTCAGTCTAATCTTATGATTAGAAAACATCAGACAAACCCATACTGAGGGATAGTCTACAAAGTAGCTGATCTGTACTCCCTCAAAATGGTCAACATCACCAAACACAAGGGAACTCTGAGACACTGTCAGTCACAAGTAACCTAGGAGACAAGATGACTAAATATTGTGGAGTATCTTAGGTGGGATCCTGGAACAGAAAAAGACATTAGGTTAAAACTAAGGAAATTGGAGTAGGTCATGAACATTAGTTATATCAATATTGTTTTGTTAATAGTAATAAGTGAACCATATCCATGTAAGATGTTAATAATATGAGAAACTGGGTGTGAAGTATGTGGAAACTCTCTGTACTAGATTATCAACTTTTTTGTAAATCCAAAGCTGCTCTAAAAAATAAGGTCTATTTAAAAAACAAAACAAAACAAAACATCAAAACCTAACTCTCCAAAGAAAACGAGTGCATACTCTGAGTTTTTTCTGATTACTTCTCCCTTTGCCCCAATATTCCTGCCCCGTCTTACCCAGACTTCTCTTAACTTTTGTTCTGTTAGGAGGACTTGAACTCATCCTCATCCTGTAAGTACAGATGTCCCTTACTTACTATGGCTGGACTTACGATTTTTTGACTCTGCAATGGTGTGGAAGCAATATGCATTCAGTAGAAACCATACTTCAAATTTTGAAGTTGGATCCTTTCCTGAGCTAGCAATATGTGGATGATACTCTCTTGTGATACTGAGCAGAGGCAGGTAGCCCCAGCTCTCTGTCAGTCACACAATCATGAAGGTGAATAGCTGATACTCTTATAGCCATTCTGTACCTATACAACCATTCTGTTTTTCAGTTTCAGTGCAGTGTTCAATAAGTTGCATGAGTGCCATTCAGGTCTTCTGGGTCTAGCTGCCTGTGGACGTCTCAACAGGGATACCCCCGGCATACCCTCATGGCTGTGGTAAAATAGAGTTAGGTGGCTTGAGATAACCTGCCTGAAATGATGGGGTTAAATAGTTAAAAGCAGGTAATTTGAAGAATTAAAGGGAGAATTTTCCCCAGGAAGGAGAAGGCCCCAAGTCCTAGTGTGATTGATGGCAGTAAAGGCTACAGAAATGTCAGGGAGGGTAATGGCTACAGTGGACTTGGATCTGTATATCTCCAGCCTACTGAGAACTTCCATGATTCCAGTGGGCCCAACCTTTACTTTCTTTAGTGACTCTGTCACTATCACTCGTTAGGACTACTCTTGAGACTCTCCTCTTCCCACCTTGCTCAATTCTGCTTCTATCACTTTTCTAAAGTTTTCCTTAGCCAAGAAGACCCCCATAAAACTCTTAGAAGCCATTCTACAGAGGGAACACCAAGGAAGGGACCAGAACCCAGCTGAAGCCCCCATACCTACCTCTTTGATATCTTCCCAGAGCCCCTCCCAAAGTGAGGAGATGGGAGATCAGAGGTGCTGGACTGAGCTTACCAGGGACTAGGTTGGACCTGGTGTGTGGTGTAAGGCAGTGTTGAACTGAGGTGGGCAGATCCTCCTTCCCCAAAACAGATAAAATTGTCCCTGCTTCATGACCAGCAATTGGCAAGCATTGCTTTCAGGTCTATGAGTGAAGTTATTTCGGTTTGGTATTGGTTTGGTTTCCTTTTAAGAAACTCATGAATAGGGGCACCTGGGTAGCTCAGTGGGTTAAAGCCTCTCTGCCTTTGGCTCAGGTCATGATCCCAGGGTCCTGGGATTGAGCACCGCATCTGGGCTTTCTGCTCAGCAGGGAGCCTGCTTCCCTTACTCTCTCTCTCACTGCCTGCCTCTCTGCCTACTTGTGATCTCTGTCTGTCAAATAAATAAAAATTTTAAAAAATCTTTTAAAAAAAGTCATGAATATATTGGGTGGTTTGGGGAGCAGAGTTAAAGAATGTCTTTCTTCCTTTAGGAACTGGCCAAGAGAGTCTGTTGCAACCACTGACCCACACACAGGTTTTTATATGGTGAGAAACAGAGGAGAAAAGACAAAGAGAATACAGGATCCCAGGACTTCCAGGATTTATTCTGTATTATTGTACACACTCACATATTCAACTATAATAATGGGGACAAAGTCAGAGTTAGTGTAGTAACGGTCTCTTCAGGCAGAGGTTCTGGCCATCAGGGGTGGTTGCTGGACAATACCTTCCCCTTCCCTCAGCCCCACTGAAGAAACAGAAGGACAGGGTCAGGCAGGTTCACAGATGAGGCAGGTCTCCCAGGCTGGGGACCTGAGATTAGTGAGGCCACTGGCTCTTTCTTCACTCCTGTGGGATGGCCTGAGAGCCTTTAGAACATTATGGGGTGCTTACTTATGTTTTGGAGGGCCATACACCTTCTGCTTCTGCTGTTGCTGCTCCGTCAGGGGTAAGACTTCTCCCTTCAGTGGCTGAACCAGCTGGGTCTCTTGGACCTCACCAGGAGCTGGGACAATTGCAGGCTGCTCCACCTGCCCCTCCTGCTGCTCTGCTGGCTCTGGCTGCTGCTCCTGTTGTTCTAGGAGCTGGTCTTCTTTCTTTTCCAGTGGCTCATTTCTCTTTGCTAGCTCTTGATCCAGTTGCTGGTCCAAGAACTTTTTTTCCTGTTTTAGCTCTTCCTTTTGCTGCTGCTTCCTTTGTGCTTTCACCTGCTCCAGCTGCTGCTCCAGATTTTTTGCTTCCTGATGTTCCTCACACTGTTCCTTTTGCTGCTGCTGTTGTATTTTCTGTTCCTGTAGCTCCTCCTTCCACTGTTCCAGATGCTGTCCCAAGTGTAATTCCTGCTCCTGTAACTCTTGCAGCTGCTGCTGTTCCAGATGCTCTTCCAGGTGAAGTTCCTGTTCCTGTGATTCTTGCTGCTGATCCAGGCACAGTTCTTGCTTCTGTGACTTCTGGTGCTGCTGCTGCTGCTGCTCCAGATGCTGTTCCAGGCACAGCTTCTGTCCCTGTGTTTCTTGTTGTTGCTGCTGCTGTTCCAGGCACAGTTCCTGCTGCTGTGATTCTTGCTGCTGCTGTTGCTGATCTTCCAGATGCTGTTCCTGCTGCTGTGATTCTTGTTGCTGCTGGTGCTGCTGCTGTTCCAGATGCTGTTCCTGCTGCTGTGGCTCACATTGTTGCTCAGATACCCCCTTCACAAGACTGGTGTGTTTCTCCCCATGCTCCAAGAGGACCTCCCCTGGGAGCTTGGAGGGCATATTCTGGCACAAGGCAGGTAGTGAAGTTGGTTGTTTCACTTGCTCCTGCTGGGTATTTATGGGAGGAGAAACAGGCTTGAGGGGCTCTTGACTGAGGGCAGGGGGCAGGGTCACTGGCAGAGTATGTTGCTGGGACATCCTGGAAGCTGATTTAGATAAGCCTGAAAAACAGTAGGGGTCAGAAGGGTGACTAAAGGCAGATGGAGTGGATGAATCCCCAGAATCTGCAGAACGGTCTGGTTTCTTAGCATCCCTTCTCCTTCCTTGCATTGGGGCTCTCCTATCCACTCTGGGCTATGTTTCCCAGAAGCAACAGAGTGAAGGGGAGGAGGGGAGGGCTGAGAAAGGCCCTCCTGGGAGCCTCTTATTCCCAGAAAGAGCAAAAAAAGTGGTCCATTTTCAGAGTTACTGTGTGACAGTGAACTGGGTGCCATTTCTTGCCTCTGTCCCTACTTCTGACCTCTACTGATCAAGAAAGGGAGATGAGTTCTGGGGTTCAGATGGGAAGAGGTGAAGTCCTAGGAAAAGAGGGGTACTCCAGGACTCCTGAGTCCTGGAAAATCAGTCCATGGACACACCTGGACTACTCACACGACCTAGTATCAGCTTAAGTGTCCCACTAAAAGATTGCATATTTCTGAGCAGGTCACTTAATCTTGCTGGGCCTCAGATTTTCCTCTGCAAAATTAACAGATTGGCCTGTTCAACTCCAGGGGTTTCTCTCATGACCTTCAGAAATTTAGCTGCAATGCTAGCACTTGGGGGATGGGGTGGAGGGAGGGGCTAGAAAGTTGCTGGGAAGTGGAGCCAGTTCGTTCAAGTCCTATACTTCTGAGTTGGGTTTTCCAGTTTCTGCTTTGCCTGGGTTTCTCCAAATGATTTTCCCCATTTTGCCGTTCTCTCTTCTTCAGCACAACAAGAGTTACATGCATTTTCCTCAAACCCCTGCCCCCCTAAAGAAGGCACAATCACAGTCAGCCCAAATCAAATATCCCCATCTTACCTCTTTTCTCTCTCTCTCTCTCTCTCAGTCTTTCACACACACACACACACACACACACACACACACCAGAACATCAAACCAAGGAAAAATGGGACAGGAGGGAAAGGGATTGCTTTGAATTCTGTGTTTCCATGTCATGGCATGTCATTTAGCATAGCGACCTGAGCTCTCCTAGAAAGACACATAGTCTAGGTGAATCCAGCCTGAAAGTGATACATGCACCCACCCAGGCTGGCCACTCTAGCCACATTCTGGTGTGTTAGATGTCCCTGGTGCCAGCCCCAGTCCTTCCAAGTAATACTTACCAGACTCACAGTCAGGACAGCTGCAGAGGCCTCTAGTGGAGTTCTGAGCTGAGCAGGGGCCAGGGTTCCTTTTATATGGTTCCTCAGCCCAACTTCCTTCCCTGGTTGAAGGAGATGGACTGGTTTCACCACTCAGGTTGGTCAACTTCCTTCAGCCCCTTCCTGACTCATCCCAGGCACCTCAAGCAGAAAACCCCTCAGGGCTCCTTTTCACAGAGACACCCAGAGAGCTCTGGGGGCTCTGTCACTCCTGTGATACTCATCTGACCTGGGCATGGGGAGGCAAGGGAAGTATCTTGGGAAACTAGTCTCCTTTTCCTATTGCTTTGTGACCTCGACCAAGCCTTTTCTCTGAATCTTAATTTCTTCACTTGTAAAACATGTCATCTTGATAATTAGGCCTGGAGATTCATTTCCAAGGGCATGGAATGGAAAGTTATGTGTTTCTATGGGATGTTCAAGCTGGAGTAGGTGATGTCAAGGTGGGAAGAATCACATCTCATGAAGGGATGGGGTTGCTGGAGATTCTTTTGCTCACCAGCCTATGTCCTACTCTTGGGATGTATCTATAACTCCATTCTGTATGGAAATAAACCCTGTCCTGAGGGAGTCAGATTTTAGACCAGAAGGGTCAAGTAGAAGGCTTGTAAAGATCTTCTGCTGTGAGCTAGGGGCTGCCTAGGTCCCATGCCCAAGTTTGTAGTTAGAGAAGTTCTCAAGAAAGCCATACTCATAAATACTCCAAATCACAGACCACTCACACAAGGAAACAGGTATTAAATAATATAATATATGATGAATATTGCTTTTTATTGCTTTTATTCCATAATTTTTTTAGAATTCATAAAGACATAAAGCTCAAAACCAAATTATCCATTGCTTTCTCCAAATCATTCTCTAAAAATAACTTAAGCAACTCTTCAGGGTGGGGGTTGGAGCTTATGCCTCCTCAATGCCAAAACTGAAACAGCTCATCTGGAATAAAATCAAAATTCACCGCTATGGTTTCAAAGGCCCTCATTAGGTATCCTCAGTACCTAGGAAAAGTCCAGTTTTCCTCACCTCAGGGTTTAGTGTCTGCCATCTCAGCCCACAGGCTTCTTCAGGGTCCCTGGCTCTTTGCATCTTTTGTCTTCTGATAAGTGCTGGGGTCTGCCAGAGAGCCTTCCTTGACTCCCTACTTGTCTTCTGGTTTACTTCACTTCACCAATAACAGTTGAGAGCCCTTTTTGTATTTGTTCACCTGTTTCTTTTTAGTCTTTCCCACCAGAAAATAAGCTCCATAAGGAGGGGTTTTGCCTGCTATGTTTTCTGCCATGTTCCCAGAATTTGTCATAACCACCACATATACAAAGTGCTCTATAGATACTAGTTGAAGGAATGAATGAATGGTGAATCTGAGCATCTGGAGATAGCCACTATTAAACATTTTAGCATTGTGCATGTACATATGTGTATACAAACAAAATGGAAATGTGGCTTTGCTTTTCTTTGTAATGATTGAGTAATAGCTTATTTTGAAGACATCATTTACTTAAACTCTCTTCTTTACAACCTAATCAAAAGGAAATATTAGAATAATATGAAGGCAAGTACTCATTTCTGGAGTACTAAGTTTAGTAAGTTAAGTTAAGTAAGTTAAGTAAGCTAAGTTTAAGGAGTGTCCCAATTCCCAGTGGTTTCCTGATATGTACCTCCATCCCAGCTCCAAACGGATCTATTTATAATGTTAATTTTTCCATGTGCCTGGGGCTCATGGCAAAAAGACAGTGGTTCAATCTCTCCCCTGGAATACTATCCTCTACCCTTGTCCAATCTGTTCCCTGAACCCACCCAGGACCTCACACTCCCTGTAGCACAGGGATAAGCTATCTTCTGAGATAGGGAAAGCCCTCTTCACACCCTCTGCCTTCCCCCTCCCCCATGAAGAATTAACCAAGCATCCTCACATGGGCACCCATGACTTGCATTCAGATGCTGACCTCACATGGGAGGAATCTGCCTCTCCCCAGCTCTTGACAGTCAGTCCCAGGACAGTAGGCCTTGCTCAAGGAAGTCACACCGGTCTTATGGGTTTCTAGGGGCTTCTATCTGCCAGATCTGCCTCCCGCCCTCTGATTCACAGCATAATGAGAGCTTTGAGGGGAGAGAGTGTGTGTGAACCTTTGGCCACTGGGCAAAGCTAGGGTGTGAGGAGAAGGGTGGATCGGGGAGCTGAGGGAGTATATGTGTGCAGGGGACAGGTTGGAGAAGCCTCAGCATTTTAGGGGTTCAGAGGTCCCATGCTCTGCCCTCAGATTGCCCCATTTAGGAGCCAGAAATAGATGTATATGGGGGAGATTCTCTCCATGTCTGTGTGAGTGATCTCATAGGCCGCGGGTGCACATGATGAGTCTGGGTAACTGTCCAGCCCCCGCCCAGTGTAATGAGGATGAGCTCATATCCCATGACACATGGAAGAGGCCTTGACCCTAGCTCTTCCCTAACCCAGGAAGGCCCTGGATATTTCTCTCACAGAGGCAGAAACTGGCTGGGTTCTCTTTCTCTCTGAGGGAGACAGTCCATTTGAATTATTGCTTAGGTATAGGGGAAGTATTGGTTACAGCATTTTACTGCCTTGGAGGGAGGATGTCAAGGATAGCTCTTTGTAAACTGGCAGTATGGGGTGATGGCAGATGGTCCAAGGCAGGTGACTATGGTCCCATCTTAGATAGCCATGTCTAAACTGTTTCCTGGTGAGATAATGCCCCCACTCTCTAAAGCCGCTAAGTTGTCCTTGCTCCCCATAGGCCTCCTCCTCTGACCAGGTCACTGCCACTCACATCATCTCCCAATCTGCCACCCTCACTGATAGGCTTCCCACATGCCCTGATCCCTCCTTGTCTGCCTTCGCAGCCTCCTGAAACTGACCTCCTCTCCTCATTCTACTCTTGAGCCCATCTGCTGTTCTGCGAGCAACTAAGGCGAGGAAGGGAGAAGAGAGGGCCAAGAGGCTGATTCTTCCTCCCTGTGCTCTGGGTTGGCTAGGGTGATGTTCTCCATTAATCATCCTCTGGCTTCCCCTCCTTGTCCTGTGGGATTGCTAATTCCCACTTTCAGTCCCCAGTGCTAATGGCTGTAGAAAAGCAGTCACAGTTCTGCTTTTGGAACAGTAAGAGGAGCAAAGGCATAAAAGGCTAACAGTAGTGGAGAAATACAGATGCTCAATGCCCTCCCCCTCCAGCTGGCAGGGTGTCCTCCTCCTTGGGCTCACTGTTTGGGCAATCACATTCTTTGTAGTTAAACCTCTGCACCAGGATGCAGCAACGTGCCTGAACTAAGGGGACTTAATTCATAGGGAAGGCCTCATCTGGTGTCTGGTGCACAGGAGCTTCCTAACACAGCCTGGTACTGGCAAGGGGGCCAAGCCCCTGTAGTGACAGGTGGGCACTGAAGTCTGGAGAGGAGACATGAGTTGCCTAAGGACCCACAGATGGTCTTCAGTTGAGTTGGGCTGAAACTCACATGACACTGATCTCCATGTAGTGGACTCTCTTCCCCAGTAGGCTGTCTCCCCAGGTGCCTGAGTGTCTGGTGGCAATGACAGGTTGCATGAGATAACCTCAGATATTTTCCAACTTTGTGAGTCAGCCATTTACTGACTGATCCTATTGTGGTCAATTCTAAGTTTTCTGGAAGAAATGCCAGTCTTCTCTGGCTCAAATTCAGCCAAAATGTGCTTGGGTTGACCCTCATTAGTCCAGCTCTACTTCCTGGCTGGTGCTGATGTTAATTTTAGCCTAATCCAACCAGGAGGATGTTACTGTTGAAGGAAGGGCACTGGCCTTGAA